TCCTCCGGTGAAAGAATCTCATGTTTATTATAACAACAACAGAGGAAATCAGTGAATTTTACTGCTTATAAAAAGGCTACTTCAAAATTTAATCATGCAACATAATTAAAATTTGAATAACAAAGAAATAATTCAGCCATCAGTGGTAACCTCCTTGGGTGATCCTGAACAATAAGCAAAAGTGCCGGTTAGTTGGCAGAAGAAACATTACTGGTATATGGTACACATACATGTACATGTACATGTGCTGGTCTGTAGTGCATTGTACACTTATGCAATATTCACATGTGCATGTACAGCACAGTAAAGCCTGCATATGTACATGTATGATAAACTCGAAACGAAAGGAATGTTTCTGAATGGGCCCCTGAATATCAAGTGGGTGATCTTTGACAAAAGAAGACAGTGGTAGGAATGCGAAGGATGTACTCTTCTCTTGCTTGATTATTGAAGTAGGCTGGATATGAATCACAGAACAAGTCTTCACTGTGTTTGCACTTCCAGTGAGGCTTTTATTTCTTGGTAACGTTCTCTTTGAAGAAGCGTCATGTGAATAAACCATGAAGAAGCACATTTTGAGTCCTGGTAGCCACCAAACATACTTAACATTTCTTAGGAGATCTAGCAAAGTCGTGCGGATGTTGAAAATTGCCTATTTTATCATACTTAAAGCCAAGAAGTGTTATTTTTATTCCGTTGCTGAAGATATTTCTTCACAGTTTGTATGGTAGTAACAGTGGATTTGAGCATTTTAAAGATGGGTTAGGTGGAGAGATTAGATTTTTCTCAACATTATATTTGTGCCTGAATAAAAAAACTTACATGCATTTATGATACAATGTACATGTTCCTACACATTTTCATGCAGATAGTGTGGGAATTTTATATACATGTGGATGATGCCAGAGTTCAGACAGCCATCTGAACTACCGCTACATGTAGAGAAATATGGAAGGGCTGCGTAGCACCATGATCAGAATATTGACAAGAATATAATACAAAATCAGTGCTCTGGAATATGTGATTGCACTGATTTTATATTATATTCTTGTCAATATTTATACAGTACATGTTCAAGGAGTTACGTAACATGTACTAGTGCATGTATGTATTTGTGCATACATCAAACACCTTCTCCACAGGTAGGCCCTTGATTATCCTAATCCTCCCTCAATATCCATACTGTTGTAGCTCAGTACTTCCCAATCTCATCACCGTTACCCCAGCAACAGCCATCCCTGTCACCTTGCCCTACTTGTGGAAAATTTGCTCACGGTCTGTGCCTGACAGGTGTTGAGCACGCTCTTCCCCCGCCCTCCTGTGGCCTTCCCTATTCCAACCCTCATGCAAAGCCCTTTATTAGAATGCCAATTTAGGAATTCACTTGATGTTTACAGAGGTAACCTGCTGGGAGTACCGGCTGGAGCACACACGTTACATGCTGGTGAGGCAGCATTGTTAGATTGGGCCAAAATATGTGTGTGACATTCATCTTTCCTTCACCTGAGCTCTACCATGCAGCGAGGTGTTGAGTTGCTAGAATGTATCGCTGCCACTCAACCAGCTGATAATTATAGAAACTCAATGAATAATTAATTGAATTTAATAATGGTAATTTTAAAGTCGCGGCCCCTGATTGGTATAAAGTTAATTACAGAAATTTGATCGCATGTATTCTGGCTGATGCTGTGGCATGCATCATGGTGCATGCCACAAAATGTTTTATTTACACATTCAAAGAAACTAATCTGTGGATTATTTGGTGAGGTACAACTTGCCTCAGAAGTTGGATTTACTTTTTGAGCTTTGTTCAAAGGATATTCAGGACTGAGTTACCGATAAATGTGGTACAGTGTACACATACATGTATGTACATATGGACTGTGCACTTTAATGTGGAATTATGCAAGGGAAAATGAATGATAACGTACCTGTCACATTCCTTGAAGAACAACTCAACTAGAACCAATGAAATACATGTACATACGTCCTCAGACTGTTGGTAGTCACATTGTGATATACCTGTAATGACTGAGGGTGTTTCCCCTCCCCCCCTGGAATTCAAATCCAACCAGTTCTGTGGTCTAACTGCAAGTTACTTGCCAGATGCCTAATTTAATTTCTGTGTGGCAAACCAAGGTGAAGCCACTTGCTCAAGGACACCACACGTGACCAACAGCTGGATTCGAACTCCCTTCCGCCTCTTCTGATCCACAAACCTTTACCTCTAGGCCACACACAGCGTTCACATTGGTGGGTTGGAATTCAGTTATTTTCAGTCAGTAAGCTCATCCCTAGAACTGAGAAAAGCACCTTATTTGCAGATTTATATTTTATTCATAAATGTACAATGAACCTAAAGCCTGTGTGTACATGTATGTGTAGAGCTTTTATTTGGCATTTAAGGAAGTCAAATCATTCTGGTTAAAATCATGGGTTTTTTTCAGTTCTGAATACTTTGATTCTGTTGGACTCATTTCTGGTTTGTATCCGTGGTACACTCATTCACCATCTAAATACAGACATTATCATGACTGTGAAAAATATGAGACTGACTTGGCAAATTAAACATAAATTCAGCACTAATAAAACCGTGTTTCTAACTGATTTGTGATTCTTTAACATTTCATGGAAAATGCCAAAACATCCATGTTGTGTATGTATACTAACTCAATGCTAACTCATGATGCTTTGGCCTGCACTTTAAGTTATTTTAAGAATAAATTTCAAGAATCTGACCCAAGCATGTACATGTACATGCATTTATCCTATTCAGAAATGTGTATCATACCACTTATTTGTTATATATGCTCTCATAATGTTCTCAAGCAACAGGAAGAAAGACCATTTTACGATTCATTCAGTATTTGCTTTAAGCCTATGCAGTTATAAACTATTCATCTTAGGGGCTCTGGGGAGAAGACAGTGGAGACAGTTCAGATTTGTGGGAGGGAAAATTGGATAAAGACTGTGCATTGGGGAGGACCCACTGAATCAGCTTGAACTAAAAACCTATGTAAGCAAGTCACAGAGCTGGAAGGCTGAGGAACTACACCGTACATGTACTAGTCCCACGCGTCAACCTGACTCCCCAAATGTAAAATCTCCTCACGCAGCCCCTTTATACAATGTTTTTTTAATATTTGGTTTGTCCTTTCTCTGCGTTTAACAGGCCTAAAATATTCCTATCAGTTCAGAATAACATGAACAACATGTATGTACATGTAACTGCAGTACCTGTACCTTTATCTGGGGCAAGTTTGCTTCTGTTGTTGATTGGAGAGGTGTAATCTTGCACTCTGTTGTCACTCCATTGTCAGTGGCCAGGAAGGTTGATCTTGATCACAATGCAGTTTGGGGAATCAAAATGTTGTTGAGAAACTGTCCAAACATTCACCCATTTTGGGTACTCAGGAACTCAAGGATTTCCCTCTCACCTTTGAAGTTGATGGGAATAATCTATTTGTTATTGTACTGTGGAATGAAAAAATATTTTGCAACTTTTTCTCTGCCATGCATGGCTTTTACCTTGTATGATAGTGCATAAAGTCTAATGGTATTTGTGTACTGAACTTCCAAAATAGTTTTCCCATGCTTCCATGCAAACAACTCTTTGCTATTGTGAAGACCTTCAAATGATAATGGCTCATCAGAAATACATGTACCTTAATAAATACATGTATGAGATGTTGTTGTGATTTATTCAGTTTATTTTTCCATTACATCTTCCGGTAGATGTGAAATTGGGACAAATGTACATGTATGTAGTCCTTGAGAGGGCAAACTATGCTCTGCATGCAAACTGTAGAGGGTGCTATAATTCATTTCAACACTGTTGGCAAGTGTGGTCACATGGGACCAATTTCGTGGCCCTGCTAATCAAAAAATGTGATTAAAGCACAACATGAGAAGCAAAACAGGTTACCAGCCAAAAACTCATGGTACAAGGTCTGCTACTTGTGACTGATGCCCTGCAAAGTTTTGCTTAGCAAGAAAAACCTTAGAATTTAACTGGTGCAGTGCTGTGGTGTATCATTATTTAATAATAAACCAGTATATAAGCAAAGAAGCTGTGAAAATACAAAGATCTTAAGCCTACTGTACATATTTATCTCTTAATACCACAAATTTGTGACAGTACAAAAAAACCATCACACACTGCTCGCTGACAACATAACCTGAAATATACCAGTATTTGTACATGTACAAAAGTAAGGGAGCCTGACTTTTTGGTCCTACATGTACATGTATATATTACAGCTCCCTTTGTCTGGATGACAATTACTGTGATCGGTCCAGCCCCGGTTCAGCTCATTAAGCTGTGCCATGCTTGAGTGCGCGCTCCCGTGCAGGACGCGTGTTCTCGCCCTCCTTGACAACGCCCGACCGATCGGGAAGAACGCGGGCAAGACGCAGAATAATGGCGAGTCAGTTTCGCGTTGCCGCCTAAGAATCTTTCTCAAAGGCAAAACAGTTTTACAGCATGTGACATTCTTGTGAAGGCCTCAATCATTTGATTGAAATATATATACAGAGTCCCAGAAAATAAGGCCCGTTCACACCTGTGTCCTTTATCTGGGTTTGCACTTAACAAATCTTGGGGTTGCTGCAGGGTTGGAAACTGGCAACGATTTACAAATATGTTCAACCCTGCACCAGCTCTGCATCAACCCAAAGATTGACTTCAACCCAGATTGAGCTCAACCCTGCTCCTCCTGATCACTGTTGAGATTTTTCAGTCCAGGTTGAAAATCAGTAATGTTCATTGTCAGGTTGAGCTCACACGAAACAAGCTTGAAACAAGCCAGGTTGATTGTGGGGTTGAAAAATCAAATTTTTAACCCATAGCAGTGCTGTTACTGCCCACGTTTGAGAGGCTGCAGTATGAAAAAGGCCTTTTAAAAAGGGTGCAGGAAACAGACCTTGTTTGGTTATGATAAATATACAACAATTGATCATAGTTGAGCAGTGCCAGTTTCTGTCTCCTTCTGATTTGACAGGTGCGAGAGTTGGTGAATGAATGCACTTGCCCCAACCAGTTCCCTATGGTGAGGGAAGCTGAGGGAAAATACAGGATTGGAGACCAGAGTACACTTATATTTGTCAGGGTGAGTATTGGAAATGGATTAACTGGTTAATTGATACAGTTGATTGATTGGTTAGTCTGGTTACTGCATGTAGCTCATCAGTCAGTCAGTTTTCTTTTATTTGATTTGTGGGTCTCTATTGGTTTGATATTTTGTTTGTTTGAATACAAATTCATCCGATCATAAAAAGGCAAATTTGTTTCTCTTCTTCTGATTCATGGCACCATGTACATGTCTTCTCCATATTTGTTCCCTCAGAGTAATTTTTGGCATCTTTGGACCATAAAACAGAACTGCTAACTCTTGAACTTAATTTGAATTGATAAGAATACTATGTCAAAATAAAAAATATGGATGAATTGGGATGTCCGTAGGAAGTCAGTTCATGAGTACATGTACTTTGAAATCACTCTTCAATGCTTTGTAATCACAGCCTCAGTGTTGGTTTAGTTTATTATGTTCAAATAAGCTTAGATATGTTGATAATCAACCAGCCAATCTAGACAGGCATGCACAAACATGAAGGCTCAATAGGCTTTGATGTAAGATTGCTATCTTCCTGCACATCTGCAGACTGGAAAAATATTTCCCTGTCAGAGATTCCCTTATAAGGCCATTAACGGCCTGTCCAGACATCAGTGACATATTGCAGTGGCACGCAATTATTACGGCAGCTAGAATTTGTCTATTTTTTGCCCATCGCTTGCAGAAGCTCAAAACAAATGAAGGAATAAATGCACTCATATCGTGAGGAATAAATTTGCTGTTCTAAGTATGCTCAGCTGAGCCATTGGCAAGGCTTTGCCAGGTCACTCAGTCTGGTTTTGAGTACTCCCAAAGACCGTTTGCCTCCTGAGATAGATCATTAACAGTGAAGGAATAAATTATGTGGGACAGGCATCCACACTGAAAAATGTGTGGGCTGTGGTCATTCCCATTAGAATTTCCAAGCTTCAAGTTTGATTTGGTGTAATGCCTTTCAATTGAAATGCAAAGATTGGGGCCGGTAACTGTGAGATGGGGAGGCATAGTGCTCATATGAGAATCATCATATCGAAACAGTTAGCATCCTTTATAACTGTCAAATTCTTTTGAGTAAATACATTGATGTGTCCCTTGGTGTTTGAAATCTCCTTGTTTGTCGCATGATGAAATGCATGCTGCAGTGCACTACGTCTGTCAACTCAAGTTGGTTTTTGTGCATTCATGCCCCTGAACAAAGTACACGTTCACAGAAGTTTACATCCCTTTACCTTTGGAGCAGATGACAAATTTCCCCATAGGTTTCTGAGCCATTGTTTGTCTTACCTTCAAGCCTCAAGCATGTTTTTCCTTCCCTCAAATGACAAAGCCATGCCTGACCCAAACTACATGTACTTGTTCCTAGTTAATCATCACTCTCGAGTGGTGTGTTAATGTGAGAAAATTTGAAGAGATTATGCCAGGTAGCCATGCTGATGGTGTAGAGAAATTGAATACTTGTTTTTTGTTTTTAAAAAAGTTGTTGGATGACTGTAAGCACTCTTAGACTTGAGAGTGTTCATTTCTTCTTGTCTGGCAGACAACCCTCATCCGGCCCCCAAAATGTTCACTCCCTGATAAGCTGGTTCAAACTTTGCTTGTAAAATAGGAGAAGCAAAGTGCAACAATAACAGACAAATTACAGTTGTGCTATGCTTGTGAGATTAGTGAGGATTATCAAAGCACCCTCTGTTGGAATCAATAATGAAGTGACGATCAGTTGAAAAAATGTCATGTTTTCATGTTTGCATCCACGTAATTCCCAAATACTATTTTACAAGAAAACCACCTGGCATGCTTTTGTGAACATTAGGAAGTGACAATTTAACTTAAAATACATGTATCTTGTGTTTTTGGTTGTTTTTGTTTTTTTTAGTTTATAAATTGTTAAGGAAGTTAATTGCTTCATTCAGTCATACCAGGATATCATCTCATTTTATTTTGGTTCTTCTAAGATGTATTTTATAGTATCATTAAAAAGAAACTAAACATCAGGCCCTCTCATTTTTCAAAATGCTTACTCACTGGTTTCTTGCCAGACACTTCCCTTTGTAAATGATGTCTGTTCTGATGAATATGTGTTACTGTAAATTACAGAAATGCCTGTATAATCATTTGATCTACAGCAACTTTCAATCACAGAGGAAATGAAAATACCTTCTCATGACCAGGCTTCTTGTGTCAGAGGTACACGTATTTTTCCCAAGCTCTGACCCGATGATTAAGGTCAAGCAACGACCCAAATTACTGACGGCACCATCTGAAGATAATGGGCATTCATTCTGTCAGTGGGATAAATCAAATTATGCCAATTAAGGGAAATTGAGCTCTGCCCAGGGTTCGAGATTTTACACAGTTTCTACATAAATATGTGAACGTGCACATGTAGGCCTACTGCAGTGTATGATTTCAGTAGATGATTTTTACCAACACTGTATGAAAGAATGCCCTTGTCGAGCTTGATTCCACAGTTTTTATATGTATTTGATGTCCAGAATCATACATGTACATGGAGATTGTTTTCATAAAAATCTTTCTCTGACTGCATGGTGATTGAAATGAAATAACTGCTGGACCTAGCCAGAGGTACAGTGTACCCTGGATGGACAAAGCAATCCATTGTCACTTGTGTTCGGAACAGTAGTCCAGAGGCAGCTGGTAGCTTTAAAATGTTGTGAAGGTACAGTGAGAAGTGTGTCCATGTTCAGGGCTTCCAGAGGATCTGAATTGGTTGGCCATGGATTAAAGAGGGGGCCCTGGTTCAAATGGTCCAGGTTCCAGTTGATGGCACATCACTACAGTGGATGGTGCTAAAAGTGTGGAATGAGGTTGATACATGTTACTGCCCTATGTACCGGTACAGTACAGCTTTGTGTGGATAGGAGTGGTGAGAACGAAGAACGTGTCGGTGTTCCTCTCTCTCTCTCTCACAAAGGGCCTGTGGAATGAATTTCAAAGCAAAGCATCTGGGGAGGTCTTCTCTTGAATGACCCTGAATGCCCTTTTAACTTTTTTCATGCACCTGTTCATTCTTAATTTGTAGATGCCCATACTTTTTTGTAATCTAGGCAATCTGTGTACACGTAAAAAACCAAATTTTTCCACTTTTTTATGTGCACTGTACATGTACATGTACACACAAAGATTGGTTCCTTTTGGACAGTCATAGAAACATCTCAGGGGTAGAAACATCCATTAAGAAGAATTATATGTACATTTATCTGAGCAAAATATCAACTGACAGTAAAAGCATTCATGAAGTTACTCAAACAGCTGTGAAATTGAATGTTCCGCCTGAGATGATTTCGTTTCAATTTCATTGACATAAATGTAATGAGCCAGTACGGTGTTTCAAAAAACCAAGGTCTTTTGGGAACAAAGTGCATGCATGAACAGGAGAGACTATCCCGCATGTGTGTAGCTGTTCCCAAATAGCCTTGTACTGGGCATGTGCTGTTGGAATACCGAACATGTTTATAAAAAAAATCCCACTGACATGAAGAGATTGTCTACAAGGATTAAACACTCCCAAAATGTCATCAAAAAGTTGAAAGTGATTTTGGAAACACTGGATCTGTGACTCTGATTCAAATAACAGATGAAAAAATCTGTACTTGGACCCGTCATTTTCCTGTGCTAAAAATGTAAACAATAGATGTCAACAACTGTTTTATCCTCGTGCATCATTAGAAGGGAAGGTGTTCAAATACGGCAAAAAAGTAGAGGAAAATCAAGTTGGAAGGTCTTCCTGAGGTCAAAGCCAGTTCTCTCTGGGAATGCAGGAAAGTGTTGGCAGGCCACACTTCCTCCCGTAATGAGTAATGTCTGCGAAAAGTGTGAAGGAAATGCAGAGAAAGAGGGAACCAATGAAAACAACCAAATGTTTTCTCTTGAAACAAACCAAGTTTCATGGTTCAAATCACTTCCCTCATGATTTCTTCTCTTGAAACAAACCAAGTTTCATGGTTCAAATCACTTCCCTCATGATTTCAACCATTTTCCTTCAATTCGCACGATATGTATTTGTGCCTGCATGTTTAAGCTCCCCAGAAACAAACACCAGCATTCCTTTAATTCTCATGAAAAATTATACATGTATAACAGAAATGCAGGCCGGATCCTGGTAGGAAGCTCCATCCCGTGTTGTCTCATGAAAAGTTACAGGCACAATGTTGGTTTATGCGGTTAGACTCCATGCAGTGTTGGCAGGGGGCAGGCACTGAATGCGTGCTGAGATACAGATTGGTGTAGTCAAATGTTCCACTTGGAGCATGGAGAATGTGGCACATGACTGTACACATTAAAAGAAAAAGACAGTTCCCAACTTGCAGTTATTATACTCATTGTATTTCCAAATCGTTTCCTTAAAAACCCTTTGGGAAAACTCAGCATGTTGCAAGATAGGTCAGATGACTCAAAAACCTGTGACCTTCTGTTGCCTGAAATAACGGTTAACCCTTCGCATGGAGTCAAACTGATTTACTTCACAGTCAAAAACCTCCGAGGAAGAGAAAGCTGTAGGCAGTTTATTTATGTACCCTCAGCTCTGGACACTTTTATCTTCCGTACACAAAATGGCAGCTATTTGTCATTCAGTTTGGATATGTAGTACCGGTACATGGACATTGTAGCATGTATTAGCATAAATTTATTCTGCCGGTGTACATGCATGTAAGATGTTCTTCATTTTAGAAAGTATATGTATACATCCGTGTTTTGTTACTAATTTCCTGCTTCTTGTTTTTTCTGCATCTTTTTATATTGATGCATATTTTCCCTCCTTCAATCTTCATACTTCATCATTTACTCCTGCTTTTCATCTGGATAACACACCCTCTTACTTGGCAGTTACTGCCACTCAGAGATCATCAAAATGTCAAAATGTCCTTATCAGGTAGACAGAAAATGCTGTTGTAAAAAGCTCAACCTGTCCCCCTCAAGGTCTGGAGTAGTCATTGAGTGCCATATGGGTAGATTACAATGGTCCTTGTGAAGTACCGTAATGACAATAAGGCATCATTATAGTCAACAGAGGGCGCCCTATCTGTCCTCTGGATTTTTTTTTACAGGTTGCTACAGTGGCAAAGCCAAAGCCTTCAGTTTTTGCTCAAGTCATTCTATGCACTTTTAATTAAACTTTGGAAACTCAAAAACAACAATTGTATTCTGTTTTCTAAGTTCTACATGTACTACCCTAACTTGTGAATTATACTTGTTCAGTGTAAGATGTGTGATTGATTTTCAATTTCCACCATTTTGAATTGTTTCATTTTTCGTGGAATTTATTCAAGATTTTACGGAATCATGTCATGGTTCGGATCGGGGGTGGCTGGGATACACTGGAGCACTACCTGGACAAGCATGACCCTTGCAAATGCAAACGTAAGTGGACAAGAGAAGTTTGTTTGAGAGTAGGCTTGCGTGGTTTTGAAGATCAACTTTTCGCTGAAGATTTTCTGTTATGGAAACTTCACAAGTTTATGCTCTTCACTTAATAAACGTTATGTGTCTTGTAGAGTAGAGTTTGGAACAAAAGTCTGTGCCTTGGAACAAAATAGTACGCCAACGGTTCAAAAGTTTGTCAGCCACTTTGTTGTAAAATATCTGGCTCGTATTATTGTCAGGAAAATTCACAGTTTGATTTTTGTTGTTTCAGTTCATCGCTCTGGGGGAAGGAGTCGCACTAGTAGTTTTGGAAGCAACTACCGCAAATCACCAAAACGAAGGTAAAGACTTGTTACTGTAGATTGATCCACTAATAACCCACTTACAAAAGCTGAAAGAGGGCCTCTTCATTTACATGTAAATTCACCTTTTCAGATATCTTTGCATGTTTACGGTATGCCAAGTTGATGTGATCCGCATGCAACTGAATGGGCACAAAGCTGAACTGGATCCGTAAAAAAGAGATTGCATTCAACCTTGTCTCAGGAAATAGCAAATTTGATTGCCCTCATCTGACAATAATTTTTGCATTAGTCCCAGTTTAAGTGCACGACAGCATACATTTGTCAACTTAGTGATGAGGTTCTCTTCTGTAAGAGTAAAATGAATGCGGTTGAACCATGTATCAATCTCTTTCTTGAGTATATGTGGTTCTGAGAAGAACCAGGGAATAACTCTCTGGTTTTTCTCTGAACCACACATACTCAAGAAAGGGATTAATACATGGTGCAACCGCAATCATTTTACTCGTCTAGTTTCTTTCACCCTGAAAACCTTCAAGTCTTATTTGTTCTCTTCTGTGTTTTGCAGAGTATCGGTAGAAGGTCCTAAACTTCACAGCCGTAACCAGAGTGTTGAGTCTCTGGATGACTGTGACAATCGATCGGTTCGCAGCCCGAGCCCACGCATAAGACGCGAAGACAGCAATGAGACCCTGGCCAGTCTAGACTCCAACCACAGCGCCGATCTTCTGAACAACAGCTCCACCCCAGCCAGGGGGAGACCAGGGAGCCTGGGACGAAACAGCCCGGCCAGGAGCTCCCTCCAGGCCGAGAAGCGCCCCTCCCAGCTCCCGCGGAGGCTGAGCCAAGCTGGCACGAGCACCGAGGAGTTTCTGAGGAAGCGTCGCGAGGAGTCAAACGCTGATGGCCAGAGCCAAAACCATCAGGGCAGCCTGGCCCGTAGCGCTCCCACGAGCCCAACGCGTCATGTCAGGCCCTTGTCCTGCACCCCAGTTGAATTGAATGAGTCCAATGTGCAATCTGATGTATATAGGCGGCTGGCCCTGGCTGGCGGACGAGAGTCAGGCTCTGGGACTCACACCCGTCGAACCCGCAGCTCGTCTGTGAATCTGACCAGCGGTACACGCAGCAGGGAGACCTCGCTGGACCGGAGCATCCCAATCTCTCCATCCATGAGACGGAAGCACCGATCAGGGTCCCTGAACGTCAACACTTCAAGAGCAGATGCCAAGAAACTCACTGAAAGACGAGACAACTCGATCATCATGATATCACGAGACACCGGAGGGCGTCACCGCCTTAACAGCACTAGTAGCTGTGATTCCAATGACCTTAGGTCACACGATGGGTCATCCTTAAGATCCCCAACAGACAGTGAGAAATCAGCTACAGAATGTGTGACCCAGAGACTAAGGGAGCGAGAGAGAACCCGAAGTCTCTCAGTCGACCGTAGTGTTGCAAGAACCAAAATCCCTTCCTTTGAAAGGGGGTCCAGGCTGCGAGCCTCCACTGGTGTCGGGGAGGGGAGAGCGCCTCTGTCGCATATCCCCACACCTGAGAGAAAGTCCAGGTTACGCGCATCCATTGGTGTTTCAGAGGCAGGTTCCACCCAAACCCAGAGTCCTTCTTTTGAGAGGGGGTCAAAGTTGCGTGCTACCACGGGTAGCATGGGATCTAGTGCTAGAGCACGCAGTGCCACTGCGGTGCATTCACAGTCATCAACACCACAGGGAAACCAAGAAGACACCGTCCAAAACATGCCAAGAAAGCAGCCAAGGGAGAGCAGGCTTCAGCGGTCCGGTTCTCTGAGGAACCCACGGACCGATCGCCATCTCTTTGGTAACCTCAGCCAAGACCAAGAAGGGGGCTTTGCCAGGAACTCGGCCCGGCGGCGGACCATCACTGGCAGGGACACTAAGGCACCCCGTCAGCCTGTGCCAGCCAAACTGAATGCAGAGAACCTTGCAAGATACCTGCAGAGCTACCAGAACAGGGTGGCACCCAGAGAGACCCGCAGTGAGACCAGGAGCAATGCCAGCTCCCGGGCCAGCTCCCGAGCCAGCTCCCCCGGCACGTCCAGACTCAGGCCGCGGATCCCCATCCCCAGCCACCTGAAGGCAGAACCCAAGACCCCCATGAGGAGGGATTCCTTGGAGAATGCCACGCCCTCCCGCATCCCTATGCCGGTCCAGCACAAGCGGCTCCTGTCGGAGGGCAATGCCTCCTCTCGAAGTCACTCACTCCCTGATCTGATTGCCAACATGATGGACTGGTGTCAGCGCACCATCAACATTGACAACTACGACACACGGAGCTTCACCAGTGCCGATTCCATGTCCCCGACCCCATCCCTACGAACGGACCAGGACTCGGGGTACGAAGACAACCCCCAGAAGGGTTCACCCCTTGGTCCAGATGAGCCTTACCAGCTACGCCGGGCGGGACGGTCTGGGTCTCTCGCAGAGGGGGGTGAGGAGGCACCAGCCTTGTCCAGGGGAGCCAGGGGATCCTCAGGAAAACGACACTAAATACTCTACATTATTATTTCTTTTGAGCTTGCTTAGTTACCTGACCGTCATGGTCAGCTGCTTAAAGCGTAGACTATGACAGCATTGTAGTCAAGACCAGACATCAGATTAGTCACACGAGTGTAAGAGCCTGTCACAAGAGCAGTTGCGAGTTAAAAGTGCGATGAACAATGACAAAGGAATGCTTGTGTCACTGTTCATTTGAATAACTTTTGACTTGATTTCAGACTGGACGTCTTGTGTTGGTCTTGTGATGGTCTTGTGAGGTCTTGTGATGGTCTCGTGAGGTCTTGTGATGGTCTTGGGAGATCTTGTGATGGTTTTAACAGGTCTTCACTACAACACTGGCTTGTGTTGACACATCATCTGTGAATTGTGACGAAAATCAAGTCCTGAGGTATTTTCATATTGCAATTACATGCTGTATTTGCTGATCTCTATTCACTTGTTCACAATGGATTGAACTGTGAGGTATTTTTTCCAGGTTCGTGATTCGTGTGAAAGTTGAAGAAAATGATACCAAAGCCGAAATTCTATTTCCACATCAAAAAAATTAAAACTATATATAGGTAATTTTAAAGTGTGTTGCAAAATATGAAAAAAAGTGTGTTTTCCAACTGCCAGTTTTGCAAACTCTAATTTGGCATGATATGATCTTTTATCGCTCCATTTACATATATGTATGTTCGTACATGTACTGCATGAATATTCTAGCCATTTTAAAATGTTCCTGTCAGTTAACAGTAAACTGCTCCATTTAGCTTTTAAACATAATCCGATTAAGAATCTGAAATATCCTTATCATGGACAATTCCTGCCAGAGTTTGACCCTGAGCTGTTAAGAGTGAGAAGTTTGGTAGAATTGTTGAAGCTAAATTTTAAAAAATCATACAAACTTCAAAGAAAACTAAGCAATCACATCGTGGCTATTCAACAGAATTTGGAATTATGAGTTAACCACTGAAAGCAGGTGTTACCAGTATGAATCATATGAGCTTGAGTTGTGAAACACTTGTCCAACTTAATCAGACTCCGAAGTCATCTTGTTGTGTACATGTACAGGTATGTCGTCTCCTCGTGTTTGAAGAGTGCAGTGTTCATGCAGCAGGGTCCCGCTAAAAGTTTGTGTCGGTGTTCCTCGAAGTTACCCTGTCAGAAGTAATGTGTGCTTGTAGATGTACCTGTAACTCATAATGATTAAATGACCAGTATATAATTGAACCGCTAGTTTAGTCAGGAAATCCTGCATGCAGGTGCATTATTGGATATCAGTGCTGCCCTGTATAAACCGAGTTATAGCTCTCCTTCATGCCCAGCTTATGCCCATATCAAAATGATCAAAATATGAGCAAACCAAATTAGGCCAATAATATCCTTTCTAGAAGAATGGTACATTAATCATGTGAATGAGAATGATCATGGATTGGACAGTGTTCACATCTAATTCTGAATACTTACATGTAGGTGTACATACATGTAAGCCCGTGGTTAGCGTGGTACTTAATGCATTGTTATTGCACATTGAAATGTGCATTTCAGCAAGATGTTATTGTCCACTATCTATTAAAATATCATCTCCATCATTTAAATATCGTGAGTGGTATATAAAAAGTATCATAGTGTGTTTGGTGATCATGCTTTACATGAAGAAAAGATTAAATGTTTGTAATTTTTTTTTAAAGTTTTATTCCCAGGAGTTATGCGGAGCATGATATTGGCAAAACTAGGATGCTTGGCAACCAGTCATCAATGTCTTGATGGTTGCATTTGGTACAAATGTAAGACTTGTGTATTAAATGAACTTGGTGCATTGTTTTCCTGTGGAATCTTCGGAGGCCAATTCTGCATTCCATGGTGCTAATACCAAGACAGCTGTATTTCTGACAAAGATATCTTTACTGCACCAGTGCTGACTTTTAAATATTTAAATCATTTTAGCATTTCAAATTTTACAGCCTTGTCTGATATACAGTTTTAAGCTGCACAAGAATGTATGGAAGTGGGTTTTTTTCTTGAATGTTTTAACGTAGTATCTCATGTTCTGAATAATTTTTTGTGTTTTACATTCCATTTATACATTTCCTTTTTTCTTTATCGCTTGCTTGCTTCCATCGTTACAGCTTTAGCAGACATTTTGATGTCAACTAGAATGAAAAGTTATTCCCCGTTTTGGGCAAATTTTTATTTGTATGCAGACCTATGCATCAAACAGTAATAAAGTGCCTTTTTGCAGGCCACCAATAGAACTAACTTTAATCTGTACCATACCTTTGTTTGAAATAATGTTGAGATTTCTCTTCCTTAATTTATTAAGTTCTGATTTAAGTTATGCAAATTTTAATTTTAAGAAGTTTTTGAAGAGGTGGGGTAGCATTTGATGGGAATTCAATGTGCAAATTGTGTGATATAAAGCGAAGTGGAAGAGTGTGCATTGTGTGTAAGTTAAATGTAAAAAAAAAGCTGCTTCAATGTATGAAAGTGTAAAAAGAGATTGTTTTGTGAAGGTGAAACTTGGCACAGAATATAGGGAAATTAAACCAAGCCTTGTATGTAATGTCAAATACATGTAAAAATAACAGCCAAGCGATGGCTTTCTTTCCGTCTGTTGTTCACTGTTTGTGTAGACTTGATGCCAGTCTGGTTGTTGGCTTTCTAGTTTGCAGCCTCACATGGTAGTTACAGATCAACACGATAAAATATAATGAGCTTTACATGCTACTGTGGTGAATTTTCATTATGTGCACTGTTTCATATCCAGCCAAAGATATGTAATTCCTAACAACTGCCAACTAATCATGGACCATTAGCTGGAGTAATGTCGATAGTTTATAGGTGTGCATGAAGACATTGACTAAGCCAGACTTGAGGTAAGCCTATAGTTAACCTGGAGTGAAACATTTAGCTGAAACCAGGAATTACATCTGTGAAAAAAATGACTGATGTTGGTATCTCCAGCTGCAGCCAGGTTATTTGGACATATAGCCACACATAAGTAGTACTAAGGTTTCAAGGCGCCTCACCCAAGTCATGTTCACACTTTACCCCTACATTGGAATTTCTCTTGTCTTTCAGCATTGTGCATGTAATCTACCTGTAGTGGAGGCACAAGTCAGGACACAAGTCTCTGCAAAAGTAACATTGATGGACAGTGGCTAGGGATTGAATGGAAAGCCCTAGTGCAACTCATTTGAGCAGCTTGTGGCTTGACTTGAAAACTGGATGACTTGGGCATGATAGGTGACTGACTTTTGATGGGGTGACATGTCCCTGCAAGTCCATCATAAGTCCATTACAAGTCATGTTGTCTTAAACCACATCTCAAGCTGTTCAAATGAACTGTAACGAAAGCATTCCTTTGTCTTCTTCAGCCTGTTACTTGTAACTTGTCTTTATGAGTAGACTCCTGAAGGGACTTGTGAAAGGACTTGTGGTGGACTCAACTACAACTGTGCTCTTTTTTAGGTCACCATTGTCAGCAGGATTTGATGTAAGCATTCTGCTTGCTGTGTTGAGCACTTATGGCCTCTTTGTAATAAGATTCTGTAAGAGGTAGTTCACATCTAAAGGGCATTTTTAAATGATACTTGAAATAGTGGTTTGGTTACTGATGGTTTTGTTGTGAACAGAAAATTTGGTGAGTTCTGAAAATTTGCTGTGAATGGAAGTATGAAAAACAGACGTAAAGGAAGCCATCTTTATTGTAAATGGGTTTATTGTGTTAGTTGTTACAGCAAGGTAGTTACAAAAAAAAGACCTTGATTTTTCATTTCAGTCGTTATCTTTGAAAAGTGAGCAGAATAAAAGAAAGCCTGCATTTACGAGGATAGATTGCTATCATTATGTGTTTTCCATTCTGACAAAAATCCTCCATGGGTAAAAAAAGAGACAGGCTGGTAGGAAAAATGTCAACTTGGTGCGCAGCAGCACTGAAGACAGTGCATTTCAGGGGAATTTATCATATGTGCTCAGCGTGTCCCTCTTCCAAGTGTCAGGTGTGATTCCACTTGAATTTTTATCCGACATTTGTTTGGAAATCTGGGATAGTCACCGGTCCAACGCACATGGTCATCCTTCATAAGCATATAGTAAGGAATGCAGGTTTTATTACATGTTCAGTACGTCATGTGACCCACACGCACGTTTCGTACCATGTCTCATAGTTACATGTATCACCTGTTGTCTGACAATTCACTAACATGTAAACTTTGAGGTGTTTTCAATGGGAAGCATGCTGAGCACTCAGTAAGCAGTCATACAACTCTCCTGTTTTTCAGTGTTTGGTCTTTATTCGGATATTACTTTGCATTCTGCACTTCTATGTAAATTCTCAAATAACAATAATTACAAAGTTGACTTGTCACTACTGTAGAAATCACATTTTATTAGATTACACGACAGACATCCAGTCTGCTTCGAAAGGTTTACTCTATCAAATTCAAAATCCAATTGAAAAGTAATGCTTTGAATTCAATTAAATAAATCACACCAAATTTGTCATTCAGATCATCGTTTTATGACCGTGTCGTGCCATCAAGAAAATCAAATCACATTCTCTTTTTTAAATGCCACATTTTGTTTATCTTATTTTAATCTATTCCATAACCAAAACCTAAATGGCCACAATAGTTTCACTGAAAACGTCATCCAGAATAAATATGTCTCCAAATATATGCATACCAAATAAATACAAACGTTTTAGTTGAATTTGGGGAATGAAAGCTTTTGAAAAATATTTTTCTGTGAATGTAGCTCTGTATAAAAATGCATACAAAGTGTGCCATATAACTGTTTGGAACAAATGTGCATTTTGAGATAGAAGACATTGATTTTTAAGGACAATACTGATTTTTGTTCATATATGAATGCGTCTAATACAGATGAGACTGGTCATGGGGTCACTTTATACTCAAGAAGGCCCCCGCTCATGGTGGAAGCACTGTTCCTGTGACTGACTAGAAAAACTGTTGAGACTCAGTTTTATGGTCATTTGTTGGCACAGTTCATATATCATTATTAGGGCCTGGCCTCCCTGATGTATAGTAACATGGGTGTCAATCTCAAGGGATTGGGGTATATTTCCCCTTCCACCAACTTTTTGAGGGGTAATGGGCCAGTTGAACATCCCCCCCCCACACTTTTTGGTCACAAGAAATAAAACTGTGAGGTTAGTTCAAATGTTCTGATAACCTAACTGGAGGACAAATATGAAATGAGTATCTGTAGCATGAGCAGCGATCCTTGGTGTAATATGGTCTCCGGGTCCAAACCCCACCCTACTTTTCAACTTCTTTGGACGAGCAGTACATGTACGTGTACATAGATTTTGGTCATCCCCGTGTCCCCACTGTCAGAGATTTAAGCCACTGTATAGCAATTGCATAACCGTTTCGGTCTGTTCTAAATGCAGTGATAGGAGGAACTTAAAAAGCCCTGCCCCTTCCAAGGAGCACCATAAGAAGAATCCTTACTTAAAACTCTTCAAAATACTTGGCCGAGATGACATCTTTCCTTCAGCTGTCTATTCTTTCTAAAGTGAAAGACTGCTTTTAAATAACAATTTTTAAAGAATTTGTTCATTCAAGCACCCTTTAAAATAATCATTGCAAATGGATATGATATCAGATCCTAGCCTGCATAGCTTTTCTTATTGACATGCCAAAAATTAGACTGGAATTCTGTATGTACATCATTGGCATCAAGTGCATGCTACATTTGGTGGTCATGATCAATATTTACAAATGCCATTGTTTCCCACATGACATGCAGCAACATTCCAAGCTCACTGTTTCAGCAAATTTGAACTTAATATGCAAAATGTTAACACAAAACTGCATTCTACTGCTTTTCTATAGGGTACAAGCTACTCTGACAATGACCCAGAAAATATTTTATAATACGGTACCTCTGAGATGTTGAGACTGCTTGCCAACCTGACTATCTTGTCACAAGGTTACCTGACAACAGTGCCCTCAAACTATCTCTGGAAACCCCCAACCTAAAGTAATAATACTCAATTACCCTTCTCATGGCCCTCCTCAAGTTCACTTGCAAACATTCAGTGGCCATCTTGAGAGTACTAGCTTTTGTCTCCAAAGTAACAGAGCCGCATCAAAATGGTGGACTGCTGGATTGTACTAAGATGTCACTGGTTAGGAACTCTTTAGAACCTCATCATCATACTTCCACAGTGCTGCTCCTGCTGTCGTTAGGATCGTTCATTTCCCCAGGGAGGGAAGACGTGTCGCTGCTCTCAGCATTGTTGTTCGTAGCCAGGTCGGCCAGGCTGCCCTTGTTGCTGCCGCCGTTGCTTTGCTGCTTGGCCATCTCGGCCTGCATCTTCAGCAGTATCTCCTGCATCTTCCTCAGCTCTGCTTCCTTCTCCTCCAGCATCCGGTCCTTCTCACTGACCTCTTTGGTGGCAATGGAGTCCTTCCGGATGGAGTTCCTGTATGGAGAGAGGTGAAGGGGTAAGAACGATCGCAATGAAAAATCTCATATCAAATACTGAGGTAATGTTGGTTCCCTATGTGCTGATTTGGGCTGAAGAGGCTGCTGTAGTTGTGGAACATATCTGGATACTTCATCTTTTCATAAGCAACTTTAATGAAAAGAAAAGTCACTTCCCAGTCTGTGAGGTAATTAAATTCAAGTCCTAATATTTGGGACTCTCGATACTGTGTACAAGAGTTCCAAATTAAAAGTGAAAAAATAGACTGATGCATGGAACAACCTGTCCACTGTGTACTACTGCATTAATCAAATATATATCACAAGGCTGGTATCTTGTCTCTACATCCACATATTCACTCAAAAGATGCAAGAAGACTATAGATACCAGTCTAGTCTTGTCTAGTCTAGTCTAGTCTGGTCTTGGGCTTCAAACTGAAAGCACTTGATTTCCCTCCTAGGTGCAAAATGCTGAAGAAATGTCTCCTCAACTAACTAACTTGAAGACTGCAAGCTTGGCTTGAGAAGTACTTTGTCTATGCTTCAAGAAACGTTAGGAGAAATTTTCACCAAACAGCAAGTAAAGTTGGCCTCAGTGAGATTCACTCAAGTCTCAAGGTTCCAGTCTGGGTAAGTGCCTTTCTTCAACACTCAGCTCTCATCCCCTTCTTAAGATGACTACAATATGAAATCTGTGCACTAATGCGTACCCTCAATGTATGTGATGAAAAATAAGTTTGGGCAGGGTTGTACTTGAGCACAGTACTGAGACTAAGATTTGAACTCCATTTAAAAACTCACTGGACTACTGAGTCCAGTGGCTTGTAACATTTACTGGACAGAAACCAGAGTTATAAGACGCTGCACCAACACCAGACATGCATGAGTGTTGCTAAAAAGATTCATTTTGTACATTTTTTTTGGGGGGGGGGTTGCCAGTGCCATTCAGAAGAACTTAGTCAAAACTAGACTACCTGACTTCAGTGGCTTATCCGGTGGGGGAGGCAGGGGAAACTCCCCCCCCCACAGATTTTTTGTTTTTTGGTATTTTTAATCCCTCATAGGTGAATAGAAAAGAAAGTAATCGGTATATTTACTAAATATTAGCTCCAAACCCAAAGAGAACAAAAAAACAACAGCAGCAAATAAAAGCAAGGACGCAGGATCGTGAGTAAGGCTTCTGATTTTTTTATCTCCTCCAACATGTTGAATGAGCTCGACGCCGCATTCGCTTTCGATTTTGCCCCCTTGACACCAAAAGCTGGATATGCAACTGCCCGATTTTAATGGTCCTGTGGGCTGCACAAGACTGCCATCGATTTCAATGCACATGGTTCAGTGGCTTAATGCAATATCTGAACCCTGACTACATTCTACACCGGCATAGGCCACATTCAGTTTGACCTGAATTATTGTACATGTACATGCAATCTGTACCTAGTACACGTGAACTACATGACAGTTGGAATGCCAAACCCACAGAACATTATTGCTAGATTGAAGAGAGCCCTCTCTTGTTATACATGTATTATAAATTAAGTCCATGGGGAAACTGCAATGATCCAAGTTACGTAATTTTTCCGTCTTTCTGATCATGTAGGGAGAATTTACTTAATGTATAGCACCTTCAGTGTACCAATTTTAAGGACTCCTGACGCATGTATACACCCCCTAAACATGTGACGTGAGAAATGTGATGACCATTTGTGTGCCCAATGCTCAGGTTAAGACGTTAATTGTTTGTATACATTTAGATGGAAACTGCCTGTGTATACTCCATGCCATATGTACAAAAAACTAGAGGGTGCACAGGCGTGTCGCCTAAACTGGAGCCCTAACGATTGATCAAACAGCCCCATCAAATGTTTGAGCATGGTGATCGTGACTCATTGCGTGAAGGGAAGCATCAATTAGAATATATATAGGAAACAGCCTTCAACTCACAGTCGCTCCTGCTTGACGTCTGGGTTATCTGTCTCGTCTTGGATTCTCCGCAGGCGATAGTTCTCATAATGCAGGTCACGTGTAACATCTTTCAGGTCCTGCATGTGTGTCCTGGTACCCAGCACAAAAATACATTGCACTCCATATCTTCAACACCTAACCACAAACATACACCCTGGAAGTTCTAGGGTCCACCAAAATGAATTCTCCAAGGCATATGTCATCTCCTCTGCAATTTGCATTTTCCAGAGGGTTTTTTGTTTTAGGACAACTCCTAGAATAGTTTAGGACAAGTGTAAAAAACTGGGAACCTGGACACTCTTTTAAAAATGCTTGAGGATATTGCACTAAACTTTGACATTGTGCCAAACTTTGACAAAATCTTAGGAACTGTAATTCGATAAATCAGAGATAAAAGATGTGCACATCAGTCGAAATGCTGAAGCCACATTGTTTTGCATCAGTCTTGATTTAACTGAAAAAAATCATGGAACTATCCAGAACTCAGGTAAATTATGGATGAATAACAGCAATGTTTGTCATCTGTTTTTGAATTACTGAACTGAAATAAAGCTATCTAAGTGTAGGTGGAATTCCTTCTTCATAACAATCTGTTTGCTGCTTTGCCATAATGTTTTGAAATGAACACTCTGCTGCATATAACTCACCTAATAAGCATGTTTCTCAGTTTCACAAAGTCACAATGTTTGGGATTCTCCACTGCAAAAAACAAACACTACATGTAACATATGATCTGCATAGAAGTCTAAAAGGAAACTTTTTCCTAGCAATTGTGACGCTGCGATATATCTTGTAATATACGTTTTTTTAATTGTAACAGAAAAAATGAATAAGAGGTTTTATTCTGATCTACAAAAGTTATTTTTTTATTGATAGTTTTCTCTCTCCCAAAGCTTTTGGTAACATTCATTTTGTGTACAGATCCTTTACAGGATTGGCAAATTGATTTTTCCAAGACTTTTGGCAAACCTAATTGTAGAAATTCTGTGTAACACCCTCCTAGCTTATAATTGATGTTCCATTGATTGCTGCCACTAGAAACCTGCTCCTCAGATAACTTTCATCTACTTAATAGGGACCTACAGCAAGCACAGCCAAAACCACAAGTCTGAGGCTTCATAGAAAAGCCTCACCGTCACTTTGAGATGAAGATGGAGTATATCTATAACTAAGACTTGGAGTACTTTGAGTCATAAAAGTGAGATACAGTGAAAGAGTTGAATCCTGGTTGTACCATATGTTTTAGCCAGGTCAGTTGCAGGTCCATTCGTAAGTCTAGTCACAAGTAAGAGAGCGCAAACAGTGATGAAGGAATGCTTTGCCACAGTTCACTGGAACAGGTTGTGACTGAATTGCTTTGGTGGTACTAGATGAATTGTGGTGGACTGTCTTAGAACAATCATTCTGTAACTCACCCTCAGTTATACCCCAGGGGTAGAGTCGACCACGCACTCGCTTGCCTCCCACCTCCACCACCGTGTTACTGCCAATTACTGCAAAAGGAACGCTCTCCTGCAAAAGCACAGTAGTATAGAATCTTGTCAATTAACTATAGAAACTTAAATGCTAAAAACACTGGCAAGGAGCAACTCAAGTAACTGTATATTGAATTGAGCTAAAGTGGCTCAAGAAATCATAACTCCACTCTTCTTAGGATTCAACTTACTGTGGCAGCCTATTTTAGTTCCTTAATATGTGTAAATGTACATGTCACTTCCACACAGCACCTGAACATTTTGAAAATGGACTGACTGCAAAACGGATTCAAAGAAAGATATTCTGGACAGCTTTTAGATGACGTGCTGCTATACCAGTTGACTCTTAATCCTGCAGTTTTGGAATTTGGAGACTTAGGAGTCATAATTATGACTCCTAGATAGGATTAAAATTTGGGCAATTCACAGTAGTGCGCCTCCAAGAGTTTGCAATGCATTGGCCAATCAGGATGAACGAAATCTGTCGATCCCTTCCAAACTCGCATTGGGTCTTGGTCAGGTCGTGATTGGCCAACGTGTTGCAAACTCTTGGAGGCACACTATTGTGAATCGCCCATATTGACTCAACATGTTAGGGATGCTTGAGCCTACATTGGCACATTTAATCAGTGGGCACCAGTCCAGGGTTGGAGACATCACATGTTCATCCCTAAGCATTCTCAATAAAAGAATGGCATTTCAGCTAGAAAAGTGAACAAGTAAATTTAAACTCTTCCCTGCTTTGCCCTCGAAAACACTTAGATATTAAGTGCTATATTGCAAGAGCTTAATTTATTCAAAATGTATGTGTCTAAATTCAAAGCAACTTTTTTTAAGCCATTTTCTGGCTTTGGAATTGCCTTTTGCTGTTCACTGCTTCCCCTGTGGATTCTGTGATAACATGTTTTACCTTCAGCTCCTTGTCTTGCTGTTTGTAATCGTCATCCTCATCGGAATCGCAGTCAGGGAAGCTGTAAATGTTGATATCATGCTCTTGAATCTCGCGCATTACCTGTCATACAAGACATCAGATTTTTCCCATTCATCAATTGCTCCAAAAAATTGGAACTTTCCTTCTGTTCTTTGCCATTTCACAAACCAAATTTCCATAGGGCATCAGTTTGCATAATTGATAAAATAAACTGATATCGAGTGTGTGATGAACATGATGGTGATCTGCCTTTCTGGCACAGTCTCACATAAGCACCGAGTGTTCTGCAAAGATGCAGTTCATGTCACAACTAAATCAATGGATGAAAGCTTGATTTGTTAGTTATTCTTTCCAACAATTTATTTGCATAAACCAGTTTTCCTTTGCCAGATGCAAGGACATACTTACCCTATTTTTCAGTGTCCGAACTTCAACTGGCGTCAGGCAATCTGCCTTTGCCAATACAGGTACAATGTTCACCTTGTCATGGAGTCGTTGCATAAAGCCAATATCAATGGGTCGCAATCTGGAAACAGGGACATTCAAGTATTAGAAAGCTAATGGGTAAATAACTAATCTCACTGGAAAAAAATGTGCGCATTGCAATTTCAAGTCATGATTTACAATATGATGTGAGAAAGACTCAACGAACAGGGACCAATGGGATACAAAATGTACACAACAAAATTTACAGGGTCCAAATTAAGGGCAACAAAGGAAAACCTTATCGACACAGAAGTATTAAACCTGTGAGGCAGTGCCAAGCCAATTCACTATAAATCATATCGGGACACAAAACGAGGAAATGAATACGAGGAACTATGTTGTTATTTCTGAAATGTGATAATGTAATCCAGTTCAGAATTCCTTCCAAGACCCAGTGCCTGAAATGGCCGTTGAGATGTAATCCTACTCCTCGGAGGCATTGATAATGGAGAGGTTTTAAGCGGTTCGATGACACCTAATTCTGTCATGGATTCCCCCGGGGACCCCATCTTTGCGTATGCATTTGGAATCCTGATGCGGGGACACGATAAGAACATCTTGCACATATTGGAGTATATTACAATCAGTGTGTGGCTAACAAAATTGTCTGCCAATGGATAATAAATTACCAAATTTGTTGGCTTGAACCTTTGTTTGGCACAGTAATGAAATCTTCAAACTGGACACCAACTGGGGAAAACTATGGCACCCAAGACGCTGAACTTTATCAGTAGATTGTTCTGAATTTTTTTTTTTTCACATAAACATAAATTTACACAGCTTGAATATCAAGAGTGAAAATTTAATATAAATCTCCTTTGGTGTATTGGGACCATTTATATACAATTAGATTTTTCATGGGGGGTACTAAGGTTTTACTGAACAAGAGAGAGAGAGAGCATGTATGGTGCCTTCTTGTTACTCAGCTTCAAAATAATGATCTCTCACCTTTAAAAAAAGTGGCCTAAAATTGCGTGCAAAAAAGATTGAGTTTCGAATTCATCCATAAAGTTTTTTATCAAGTGAGAAAATTAACCTTCAGAAGTGCCCCACTTAGCGAAGGACTCCATAATAAAAAGTGTATTGGGCTCCACTGCACGATGTTTTTCAAGTTTCCAAGCAAACAAGATCTTTATTATTCACTTCACTCTATTATAACCATTCTGGCAACAACTTCATAAAGAGCTTTCTTGTTTTCATTTCTTTTACATCCGAAAAGTTTAATTCAACAAATATTAGTACAAAGTAATCCAAGCGGAGGAATACTTAACCAGCCTATTCACACAATCTTACCCGTGTCCATACGGTGAGATAAAGTAGAGACAGCAATGAACTCTGTTGTCCACAATATTCTTACGATTCAGACCACTTTCGTCCTCATAATACTGGGCGAATTGTTCTTCAATGTAGTCAATAATCGGTGTCCATCTAACAGCAAAATATTTGTGGAAAAGCCGAAATAAGTTCACTTTAAAAGTTGTCGTTTTTGTTGGGTTGTTGACATGGGCTGTATAAGTTATCAAGTCGTCGTTAAAACTTGTCCCTCGCCTTCAGAAATCAAGCAAAATGTTGTATTCGTAATGCAACTGAAAAAAAGACACTCAGGGAAAAAAGCGAATTGACTGTTGGTTCAGCAACTTCTTCTCACTATTTCCAAACGATTCAGATGTAATAATAAAACTAAAACAAACCCTATATGCTTATTGATTGAACACTACACCTGCATCGACAACACGATTCGGCCGTAATCTCTACTATGCAGTTATTCTAACTTTGCTTTGTCAACTTACGAGTCGTTGCAATTGACCGAGTCCCCGAAACCCGGTGTGTCGACCACAGTCAATCTGAGCCGAACTCCCTGCTCCTCGATGTCGACTGAACATCGTTGAATATCTACTGTCTTCTCGATACGCTCTGCGGAGACATGGGGGGTAGTGGGAGCTCCAAATAATTAGTAGCAATCATTAACCTGTTGAACCTCAAATGGGCTTGTGTGGTTTTTCTTCTAATCATCTCACATCTAGGGAATGTACGTAAACGTATTTTGATTCAAGCTTTAACAGTCTGATCATCTCAAATGAGAGATCAGATCTGTGCCATGTAGCTACGATTTTATCAGAAGTTGACATGACACACACATTTATTCTCCATTAAGTTGGCTTTCAAAGTTCTTGACATCGTCGACGTTTTCATCGTCCAAACATTAGCATTTCTTTAAACTGAATGCATACTAAACCGTTTGCTTTTTCTTTTTTCGAGAGACATAATACTCGTAAAAAATTGTATGTGATGTCAGAACGTCTGCAAGAATCACTTTGGTAACAGATCAAGGTTATACGTAACTTGAACATCAAACAAAAAAAGGAATTCCGCCCGGGATCTTTTTCAGGGTTTTATTAGCCTCTGCTTCTACACAAATTTCAAATAGCCATATTGGAGGCAGCTGTTATATAAATATAGAAAAGACAATGCCCAGTTTGTTTTAATACATCAACAGAATTCTGGAGAATTTTGTTAATAACATTTCAACCTCAATAAAGCAACGCCCTCGCAACCATTCATCCTTCAATGCTGCCATCTGATCAGCGAGTGCGCACTTCAAGGAATATTCCGTGAACGAAACTATACCTCAGGAAACTACAATTTAAGTCAGTTTACAGAAGCGAACACTCTAAAAGCTTTTACACTCTAAAAGCGAGATGTTTGCAGATCTAAACAAACGCCGGAAACACTAGCGTAGGATTGTAACAGGAAATAAATTTACCATCTGCAGTTAGTTCCCGTCTTTCCTTGTACAGGTCTGTCAGAAACAAACTATTTACTAAGGTCGATTTACCAAGACCTGATTCTCCTGTTGAGAAAAGAGAAAGTATCTTACAATACATTATAAATATTAGCTTTGGAAAAGAATAACACAACACTGAACGCTTGAACTAAAAACCAGAAAAATGTTTCGCTCTTAGCAAAATATTTATTCTATTGTTTGATATGAGCGTTCTTCGCTGCTCGTAAATCACATGCTCACATATCGTGATTACACGCTCAAGTGTTATATTCGACGGTTAAAAACCGTGGAAAATGGATGATTAGGCCTAGTTGATTTCCAATATACTAAGCGTGCATAAAGGGGTCGCTTTTACGAAGAATTTAATGTGTATTTACATTTGAGCTTGTGAAAGAAATTGGGAATACTATGCAATTTTGAGTTCGGAGATCTTGTGCAGAAAGGTTCTTTTCTAAAGTAAATACTTTATGTCACTTTAGTTTTCAATCAAATCAAGCCAGATGGTTGTATGTCTACACGGGATGTTCAAAAGGATGCACTTGTACGTACAACGCGATTTTTTCATCGATTCCAGAAAGACAAGATTCAGGAGTTCAGAATCGAGCATGGGATGTTCCAAAACAGTCTGCTGACATTCTAACTCAGTAAATAACATTTTCACGGAAATCCATGCGCCGTGTCAAAGCAGTACAATGTTTGTAATTATCGTTGGTATCCAATTAATAATTGCCTACGCAGCACCAAAGTCTGATGACTCTATTGCACGCGTGTGGCACCACACTTTGGTTTGGGGCATAAGTTTTCAAAGGTTTGTGTAACTTGACACATTTGTATTTTTATGTAATTTTGCTTTCTGTAAATTTCCAGAACATCTACTGGAATGATTCTCTGGGGTGAATGACAGGTGACATTGGTGAAACTTTGTGTACCAGCAAGAACTTGAAATATTTTGTAACTATACATAATTTCTGTCCGATAATTTGCATAGTTGTACTGAATAATTGGTTAATTCAACAAATATGTGACCTTAGGGATGGATTTGCACAAAAGTGTAGGCAGTTGATTTTTGACTGACGCTGCGTGCATGACATCGAACAACTGCCTTTTCACAGATCTTCACCATTCTGTCAAAATGTGACTTCTATAATGCAACGTCAGATCAAAAAAGAAAGGGGGGAATAAATATAAAAAATGAAGTAAAAATTGCCTCAATGTCTTCAACCTAGTTACCTTTCCTTACCTAAAAACACTCTCGCGCCAATTTATCACAGAAAAAAATAAAATCCCAGATGCTTGTGCCAAAGGGAACATAAGGCGTGTTAACGACCCGCTCAGGAACCCAAATTTCTCCACACCGTGTTGCCTTCCACAGCGATAACTTGGAATATTTTTCTTTCAGGTCCTCCAGTCATCTTGAAATTTTGTTTGCACGTCTCGTGTTACTTTAAGGAAAATGCCTCTCGTCAGGTACACTTTGCATTAATGAGACCAGGCGCAGATGTGAAGGCGTTGGTGTCGTCTGTTTCAGACCATTATAAGTCAGGTGGTGAACATGCATCAATAAATTCTGTATCCTCGTGTGTCGTTCACCTCCGCATAACATTATTATAATTAAGCCTGTGGTTATACTAACTCGGGATACTAACTCGGGTTACACTGATGTGTAAAGATATGTGGTAAATTAAGAACATAACCACAATTCAAAGAAATTACATATGCAGCAAGGTATGAGACGGAGAGAACCCCCCTGCTTTGTGTTGGTCATTGTCTCGCAGGAATCTGGGGAATTCCTGTCAGTCATCTTGGGGGGATGTGTTAAGTACAGTAGTCTGGAATTTGTATAGGGATTGGACATGTTGGGGGGTACCCCTCGGTCTCATTTCTTGCTGGGTATAACAAATTACACGACTAAGTCTGGCAATAATTTGTAACCATTTTTTTTGATTGAGAATTTCGCTCCATTTTTGACAGGATTCCGAAAAGTGAGTCTTATGTAGACCGCAGACACTTTTTTCCCACCGGGCTTTTTGGTTTCGAGACATTACTCCGTGTGACATTCTGCTGAATGTGGACATATTAAATGGTGAAAATGTGAACAGATTCTATTGATTTTCACTAGATCAGTTGTCCTGTAACGGCACCTGTTACTTATAAAAATAGCTCCCCATGCAGGATCTTCAGCACTTCCGATTTATGCTGTGCTGGGTTGTCACAATTAATGTACATAGACAGCTCCATTTCGTGGCATGATTCACCATGTGTTCTCCTGAATTTAAGACAAAAAGCGATCTGCAGGAAATCCTCCGATGGTCGGTTCAACTTACCTACGACCATCAGTGTGAATTCAAATCCTTTCTTGACGGATTTGCGATGCACCTGGTCCGGCAGGGTGGCAAACCCGACATATTCGCGACCCGGTTGCTGTAATGAACAAGAACATTAACTTCATAATGTAACATATTCAGATGCAGAAAATTGTTTAAGTTTGGGGCCTATTAAAAGAAAATTACAGACACTGTAAAATGTTCGAGAAAAAGTATGTATCGCGTTTCGCGCATGCTTGTTAATTAATATAAATATTCATACAAGAACTGAACGACAAGACTCCATGTATTTTTGCCTCAACTTGTGTAACATTCTTTTATATTGTCTTTTAAGTTTTCTTTCTTTTCCTCCTTTTGGAAAGTATGAGACCAGTGACACATTTCTGTACATCAAACCCTAATAATATATGCCTTCTTCAAGCAATAAATTGCGATTACCGTCCCTGTATTTATAAATATCGCATGACCCCCTAGCCTTTCAAAGCGGATGGCCTAATTTGGGAACAAAATATAGCCCTTCCTAAAGTATAGATCTTTATACCAAGTAGGAAATTCGTGAATGAGAAGTGATCAGGAACCACAGAGAATGCTGGACGTACATAAAGTCTGAGTGCGCTAAACGATAAAGGAGTTTGGCAGCAGTGAGCACGTCAACCATTTTGTGTTCATAACGGTGTACATCTTTGCGCAGGTTCTGCGAATTTTTCATCAAGAGTCAGGGCCTGGTTTGGACCTATCATGTTCCACAGGGGCCGCAACAGTATTCGCTGCGTTGTTGAGTGGACCCCTGAATTAGAGAACGCATCTGAAATGCGCGTACTTGAAGTTCCATAATTCCGGGTTTAACCTGTTTGTCCGTCTTGTACATTCCAGTACATTTATACGTTTTGGAGGAAGACCCAGACGTGTCTTCGTGACTGAAATAATGATGAATACGGCGAACAACATGTCGTGTACACGGAAACTATACAGATCCACATTAATATTTCGTATAGTGGTTCTAATTAAGTTCATGTTTTCCATTTAACAAATTCCAAACAGTAGGCTAGTGTGCCATTTTGTTTACTTTACTTCAATAATTATAATCTGCTTTTTTAATTGCCATGTTGCAAATTACATGTGTTAAGGCCTACGTAAACCTTGTTTCCCAAGAATTGACGAGACATTGTCATAGGCCTATGGTACCAACATGCAGATCACCAATCGTCAATTTTTTCTATGTGACCAGGCGACAACAGATTCTGCTTTGTAAGTCTGCGTGGTTCTGAGAAAAGTCTGTGAAAACATGTACGTACTATGACCCATGAATATCAAATACAGTCTCCACCTCTGCACGAAAAAACAAAAACTCGATCGGATACTGTCACCCTCTCCCAAAGCCACGACGCCACGCCCCAATCGCGTGCACCTCTCGCTCGTAAAAAAAACATCAAATGCCCAGTGGAAATGTAGAGCTGTTTGTCAAAAATAGGCATGTAGTGGTGATTAACCCATCAACTATGGGGCCCATTCACGCGTTGATTCAGGAAGTAAACCCGACTGAAAAATACACTTCAATGATCGATGTCCTTATATTGTGTTTACTGACACACACTTATGGCAAGTTATACTTCCGTGTGGACTGCGGTATGAAGTGCGTATTTTAACTCTGCATGCTGGTCCACTTGTGGTTGGGGCGATGGAGGTTTGAACGCTACAGCAAGTTTAGATGCCAATATGCGTCAGATGCATCATTGAAACTTGTGCTATAATACAGTACGTCTGGAATGGAATTTACCACTGGTCCTAAATATGTCAAACAGGTTCATCATACTTTATAGACCTACTATGTGTTAGAGTTCATCGCGCATGGGGAAATCCCTGTGCACTGTACATGATATTGGCAAGTATAATCGTTACTTCTTGCGCGGGGTGAGAAGCTGAAAGATTTCATAGATGATGAAAATGGATCAAGATACTATCTGTGTAAATGCGTGATCCCATAGACATGGCAAGGGGCAACATTCTAGGGAAGAAGGGGCATACTTCACATGGAAATCTGGAGGGGCAGACATTCCATAATAGATGGGAGGTTAAACGGTCCCACGGGATGCTGGAGAAGAAGACTGGTCCCTTGCTGCATTGGGATGGAGCAACATAGACTCATCCCTCTTTGTATCATAGGGTCCAAAGATCCCACAGGAACGATATTAATTTCAAGGCTGTAAACCTTTCGAGGAGGGAAAATTCCCATAGTGTTGGTATTCATCTTAGATCAGGAAAAAGAAATCACACTGCAATACAGAATCCTGATCTACGAAGACCTGGTGCGTCATTTGCAGATTGTAAGGGGCGATACAGAAAGGCCAATATTTTGGAATGGTGGAAGGGCCTCTGTTGTCATGTTTGTACGAAATGAGGTACTGCGTTCCCATGGTAGATTAGGTTGAACGTTGATGGGGAGAGACTGTTTCCCTATGGGACCGTATCAGACGATGATGTTGGACAGTACAAATATGGGACCATGCAGGTATGATAGACCCCATTGCCAAACTAAACTCACACATCTCAATTCGCAGACCAACTTTCAGACTTTCCTTGAGAGGTTCAAAAAGATTGTTTTCAACAAGTTCCAAGATGTATTATTCAGACCATGAATTGAACTTGACATATGTATTTATTTACTTATAACGGTGCACATGAAGGTTGAGACGTTACTATCGCGCGACCTCATCCGCCGAGATGGAATAGAACAATAGTCCATTATGCAATGGTTTACCGCTAATTGTACCCACAACTGTTGTGCTGAATTGCACAGGGATCAATGGAGAATGCTTCTCATGTCCGTAGTAATAACGATTTGGTTACACAGCATCATTTGCAATCGACCTTCCTCCTCCAATATAGCAATAGAGAATCACATTCACTGCTTAACAATTCGGTATCAAGTGTTTTATAGGGAAGATGGAATGTGAAACAAAAACTCCACGTTGCAAAGGCTGAACGCGGCATGCTAAAACAGGATGTTCGTCACTTACCTGATATCCAGAGAAATAATAACTTCTGTTTTGATTTGGTTCAGCGAAATTTTCCTTATTTCGGTTCATTATCCCAGCTTAGTATGCAATCATGCAAGCATGCTAACCTGAATACCCACTTGAGATTTCGGCATCTTGTCAAAAGTTGGCAAAAAGTTGGACGACATGGAAGAACGATGATCCTTCTCAGAGACGACTTCAAAGGGCTAACAAATCACTCGCCTTCCGTGCGCTGACACGCTGCCCGATGACCACACTCTTGGCTAAAAAAAGTGCAGCGAACCGAACCCCCTGGCGTGGAAATGGCACAAAATTGCACACTTCTGGAAGGACGACGCAAATGTCAAGTTCAGTTCGAGTTGTGTCTTGGGAGGCTGCAGCCTAATCTTATCTGGCAAGTTTGGATTAAATCTGAAAAGGCTCTCTGGAAGAGGAGCAACTACTCGGTGCAATGTGGAACTTGTACACGCAGAGACTGCTGTGGTCTACGAATGTTGAAATTTTCTGCGTGTAGGGCTCACAGCATACTGAATTTAAAACTCACATCGAATTCCTGAATGGAGAACTTTTCACTTTCGATTTTATTCAATGCAGCGAAATGGTTTTATAGGAAACTGTACAAAACGCGAAAAGGTGAATGCTGGGCGAATGCGCAACACTTCCTCGAATATGCCTCACAACCTAGCTCTTCCAGCTTCAGGGGATAAGTGAAATATTTCACTTTCGACAATTGATGGGACTCTCGTAAACTGTCCCTGTCCTTCGTTTACACGGCCATTTTGCTCATAATTAGGCAGCCATTCAACTCAAGTGTCATTTCACGGTCAGTGTGTTTGGATCGATTAATCCTTTTTTGAGCTTAAAAGTATTTCTCTAAGAATTGTTTGACCTAGTCGGTCAGTGTTTTTTTATAGGTTTAAGATGAATGCAGATGCCCCCAACGACACTGTTCGCGCTGTACTCGCGGACAGCAATATACAGAGCAATTCATACGGCTTTGCTGGATTGCCAAACTTCCGAAAGACCGTGATGTTCAAATATAGAATTATCTCACAATTGTTGATAACGAGCAAAGTCCCCGACGGCTCCGTCGATGCAGGATAGGCACTCAGCGCGTGAAAGACGGAACTGCGGTGGGGTCTGCACTTTAAATTGACGGCCGGGACATGCAACTCGGCAACCACCGGTCATCGAAAATATACTCCGCGTTCCGTATACTTCCCAAAACAGAAGAGATGAGATCTTCGATGACTGAAGTGAACCGGGCTGTTAACCAAGCTGATGTCGCCACTCAACTTCCAATGGTGGCGATATCTATCCCAAATAGATCCACAAAAATCCCCGCATTAGTATTTCATCTGGAGCTGTCGATCCTGTGTGGATGGTGTGTGTGCGTGTTACAACGTTGGTTGTCAGTGGACTGCGGTCGTCGATTTATTTGGTGTTACTATTGAATTGCGGTTCGATGGTTTCTCGTAGAATGTCAAGGCTGAACACCATGAGGTGAATTGTGAATACCGGTTCAGTGGGTAATTTTGTTCACAGGGATAAAACTGATTACTACACACCTGCGCTGCACGACTATGCCTTTCGCAAGTTCCTATCCTGCGCAGGAAAAAGCAGTTATAAACTCTTTTAACGCAAACAAATAATTCTTCTGAAAATTTAATAACATGCGTGCACCACTGGCCTGGTTCTCCTCGTGGATTTTGATACTGGCGTCAGCAAGCTCCATTCATGGTCAGTGGAATAAAACGAAGCGCGGTCACAGAATGGTGCCAGAGATGACACATGAAGCGATGAAAAGATAATCGATATACCATCAGAAATATCATAACAAGCTCTGGTATCAACACACATCCTTTCCACTGTCAGTGCGTCATCGTTCTTCGATTATTGTCTGTGTCCCCTTGGAATGATGATTTGTCTCATACAGTCTAGTACAGGAGAAGACTCATCTCAAGGCTGCATCCTTGGCCGTCGCCATCCCACGATTGCCGATGACCCTTTCTCGTTCTCTGTGCGTGCGATCACCCGCCTCAGTCAGTCATCACAGTATCTTCAATCGCCCCTCCGCTGGCCGAATTCTATGCAGGTTGAAGGCCTATTCAGCGCAGTTTTCAATCCATGCAGCACTCTGTGATTATGCCTATCTAAAATATACTAGCACGATTATCACAATATTTATATTCCGACGTAAGCGGCATACCACAGCTATGGTGATATAGTTGTGCTGGGCTCGATGTCAGTGTGAATGTGAAATTCCTTCACACAGTCGATATGGATTGACCCGTAAAATGTCCGCGCAACAATAACTTAAACCAAGCGGGAATTCAATTCATGCCCGAGCATTAGTACACCATACGTATGTATAGAGCTGATGGGTTGGCCGGATTCTTTATTTCCGTTTCCCCATCCTGAAGGAAACAATGCATAGGCCTACATTTGACTTGTTTTTATTGGCCTTTTTTCAAAACAGTCCTTGTTTAAAAATCAGTTACATGTGCTGCAAGCAAATTGACTGAATTATCCATAAAGCACTTACATGGTATAAAAATCTTGTCTTGTGAAATGCGGTAATTTAAAAAAAAACTTTAAAACTCTTTTCGACGACGGCTCGAGCAAGTTTGAGTACAAATAAAATCTCAGTAAATATCGTGGTGGTCCAAATTACAAGGGAGTCTTTAATTTCTTGGAGTTTTTACCCAAACGTTGAGCACACATTGATTTCCCAAAACTTCACCTTACTCAAATTAGCTTTACGATAAGCAAGGAGGCAAATGTGACGTCAGAGTGTTCTAATAATCGATAAAGACAGCCTCCTACCGAAAACACATTACCACCAACACACATTAAGAAATGAGAAAACCCGAATTTTTCATGTACGTATATAGTGTAACCTACCTTATTATCTGTGATATTAAAAAAGTACGTCTTCAGTTCCTTACGGAAATGAAAACTGGAGATGTTTTATGTGTGTAGAGGGTGGTAACAGGCTTTGTTGGACTGCTTTCGAGGACTGCCCTCAACGTTATGACAATTCAACGTTTGACTGTAAATCTTCGATCAAGTATAAGCCCGTATCCCATGGAGGAATAATTCCCCCATGGTAAGCCTCACTGTTGCTTTCAGTTTTGATTGCTTTAAACGGAATACTATTCGCATTTGACTGTGAAAGACGCCATGCGGAATAGTTCAAACTCGAACGTGTCTCCAAAATTTGTTCAAGACATCCGCGGTAAAGACAATGAATATTTCATTGTATTTTGTCAGGCAGCCTCCTCATCTTAAGAGCTGGATCCAAAACCCAGTATTTCATACAGTATAGTGATGTTCTCTTTGGACGCTCACACGCCCTCTATATATTTCGTACACTTTTCCCCCTTCAGGCAATCAAGCAATCAGAAATACCAAGTTTGGAGGGTTTCAGACTATTACAATCTCAAGCAGTCCCTAACAAGACGTGCGTAGCTGCCAGACAGGGTGTATGGCCAATGAGTCACTCCGTCTGACTTCCCCCCGTACTTCCTGTCTGGATATCGGGGACAAAAACACCCCCACTGACCCGGGCTCTCTGAGGATTTCAAGCCACGATAGGCGCAAAGTCCAAGTTTCTAATACATTGTATAATTTTGTAGCTCCTGCTTAATTTCTATCATAGTTTGTTTTGGAACGAGATTAATTTACATTTGCATAGCAGTCTGTGTGTCTTTATTTTCATAAGTATACAAGACAAAGTCCACCTTGTGACTGCAGCTGTCAAAACCGTGAAACTTGCACATGTTTGGGAGGTTTATTTTACGTTTCGAGGACTTGAACTTCAGTCGCGCTGGAGCGATGCTTTATATAGCGCCCTCTTAAGTTGCTTCGTGAAGAATTTCACGAGAGCCACACCGTCATCATGCGCACCGTACCAAACAGTGTACACACCCAGGCTGGCGGTTGACTTTGAATGTCACGCGTCAAGCTTTGGTTTCAAAGGTACGGCAATAGTCCGGATGCTCATTTCCTCCTTTGTGCAGAATTAATGCTGAGGTGAACAGACCGAAACACAGCGTTTGAATACTTAAAAATGTAACCTTCTACTTATGAACCATTTTTTGTCGGTATACAACCCAAAATTCGCGTCTGCACACCCCGATGAAAATGAAGTTTCAATTCGCATCCCTTGTCGGTAATCGAGCTGCTGCATTTGTAAACAGGATAAGCATAAATTAAAAGGACTACGGGATGACACAGATATAGACAGGAAACTAACCATACCTTTGGGCTCTCTTGTTCCCGTTCTGCAGTCGAAGTCCTCCTCCCGAACTCAAACCGATCTACAGCAGCTGCGAGAAAAATGATACACACTAATTTACGGCCAAGTGAAAGGTTTGACAATTGAAACTCGTTGGGAATATTGTCAATGAGATCGACAGAATGCACTAACGTAAACGTTTAAAGAATCTTCATAGCTCAGAGGAGATTTTCTTGCAGATTGAACAGATATTCCCCAAATACTTCACTCTAAAAACTCCTGGGTCAGTTTGACCCGGAATAGGTGTCCCGTTAAGCCTAACCCAGAAAAGGGTCATTTTTTGACCTGGCAAATGGTCGGGCCTAAAGATACACAGATTCCGGGTCAGTCTGACCCGGCAGTTTAAGAGCATTCTTTTAAATACCTCTTACCTTGTTAGTTTGGCAACCGTGCTTCTAATAATTATCTCGACCGATTCATCGTCTTTTCCGAAACATTTAAAATATCATTTATCAAACGTTGCAGTGTTGGAAGTCATATTTGCTATTATTACAATGTACTTAACGAGCTATCAACGTAAATTACCAACATAGTTTCCATGAGCAAATGAACGACATAAGTTGAACAATTTCGAGTTCTTTGAGACTGCATTATGGAAGACACGTGTACCGCCGCACGGGGCCAAGCTGGCCACCTGATGCTCGCCCTTGAGAATAAAAAAACAAACATCCGCATCGTTACTTTACGTGAAAAAAATGCGACATGAACAAACAAACCTGAAAGCCGCGACAGTTTCGTCCGGGGTGGTTTTTTGGGCATAATAGGTCCTCTTTCTGCCATGATCTTTCAGAGACTAAAATGTCAGAGCGTGTGGAAATCGCCGGTGCGTCTCGACTCTTTGCGAGCAGGAGGAACTGTGTGGCTAGTGTTGTGACGTACCTTGTGCAGCACCGATTATTGTGGGCTCGCCCGCACGATCGAGCTAGCGTAGTGTTTACGCACTTGTGGTTGTATACTTTTGAGAGTTAGTTTCAAAAGCCATCTTTGGGCAAAACCAAGTCCTTTGGCTTCAAGGAAGTAAAATACTGGTTGCGTTGCTCATACATGTATCCATACAAAAATGTATTTATTACGTCCACTAACAGCAGTAGGCCTATGTTTACAAACTGCTTGGCACTATAGATAATAGTTGTGGAAAAATTGCGTTCACCATGAAAAGGTGTAGACGAAGGTATTCACGCCTGCACGTACACGCGCGCAGTGTCAACTGCTTTCGGTCTTTTGTCAAGTGGACAGAGGTTCTGTGAACAGAAAATCCCCTCCATAAGCATGCAACGCCACGAAACGTATCCTCTCTCTCTCAACGAAGTCATCTACCGAAATCATCTGACTTACCGTGTGCTTTCGGGCGTCTGTCATCCATGTTAACTTTTGAGGCAGAAGTAGTTGCAACATTGACAGCACCCTTGTCATGGTTTATGACTGGATAACTTTACTTTGGGCACTGAAAGCGTGCGTCACTGTACCGTGCATGGCTGCTGAAGCGCGGCGGTTGAACCTTTTTCAAGCAGGTCAAAAATGGTCAGCAATCATTTACTGCAGTGATGAAAGCTTCCAACACCGATCTGTCGGTGTGAAGCTTTTCTGGGATTATAGGTGTAAAGAATAATGCATTCTGAAAGCACTGATTGAATGCATATTTTTGTTTAAAGAGGCCCACGCTCAAACTAGTCAAGGACTAATGTATCACTGCGCTCAGTGAACTAATGAAAAGAAAAACAGATCAGGGGGTGCCTATATTTCACGGTTATTATTGGTTACTGACCGCTGAAATAAAATTATGGAGAAAGTAAGCTCTAATCAAATAGGAATTTCTCAACAGACAAGTGGAAATTGTAAGCAGAACAGATTCTTGTTTCAAGTCTTTTGCGAGCAGGGCTATCACTTTAGGTCTCGTTTCAAATTTATACATCATTGGTTGACCGTTGAAAACTTTAAAAACGCATGTTTCAAATTTTAGCCACAGTTTAAAACATGACTTCTTGGTTTTTTAACAAATAAGTCTGAAATTCTTACCTCATAGGGTCAGTGTCCTTTATAATATGCTTCCTTCGTGAATAAATTGTGAACTTGAATTTCTATTTTAATATATCCATGATCGACGGTGGATACATTATGGCTGTGCATTGCTTTGGTCTGAAGTTTGCAACTCCGCATGCCATTTTCCAAAACTTCTAAAAGAGTTACTTTGATAATTTAAAATACAAATAAGCACCGTCAGATTTATAAAATGGTTATATGCGGATAATTAGGCATACTGTGTACATTTGACTGCACCGCTGGCTACCAGTGCAAATCAAATGGAGTTAAATCAAATGGAGTTAAACTCTTTTAAAGTTTTGCGTCAAAGTGTTTGCACCAGATGGCTCGATTTCAAAACTTCTCTCAACAACAAGGAGAATTCAGTATATTTTTCGACTGATGTATTTCAAAGCCCCTAAGAAATAACTTTAAAGGAATATGAGCCTTAAAAAAACACAAAATTGACGGAAAATGATCCGAAAGATTTGGCTCTCTTCATTCTCTTAACGCTTATAATCACTCATGCAAGTCACTGTATAATCACTATACAAGTGTACATATCTACTAGTTCTCATACCTTTAAAAAAAAAACAGAAAGTAATCTTTTAAGTTTGGCTGCATTAAAAATCTATAATGCGTACAATATGTTCGTTGCAAACGTCATATACGACAGAATTTTGATGACATCCGAGAATTTTGACGGGAAATGCATGACGTTCGACAATGCCGAAAACGCTGTCACATGTTGTGCTCGACAATTCCACGCTCGATGTTCATTTTACCATTATATCCCCAGTCGAAATAAAATCAAAATTAGCAAATCTGATCATAAAATTTTCATCATGAATCGTATTTTATGTCTCAGGCGATTTTTATTTTATTTTTTTCTTTTTGGCGAACGAACGTCATTCAGTTTGACAAACTTTGGTAGGAAGAGAAAAAACCCCGAGAGTCGCAATAGACCGATGTTCAATGTAAGTGTAGACTGTACGTACATAATAGCTTACCATTAAACTTTGTCTTAGCTTGGAGTGCTACTGAAAG